CTTGCGCAGGGACCGTGCTAATCTTCTTTGTATCGTTCCAATTTTAACGGATGTCCCGAAGGACTCCGACCGGGGCAGTGCCCCGCTGTACTGCCAAAGGCCAAACGACCCTCCTCCGAACCCGCGCTGCCTCCCCAGGCAGTCCAAAATATGTGGTCGTACCCGCCAGACTCCATCATCTAGGCCAGACGCAGGCCCGTACTCCAACAGTTCGTGGGTGTACCCGCTAAGCTAGGCCTTTGGGTATTAATTATACCCACGGTACCACGTCCCAAGGCGACACGCGGCGTGGTAAAAAATTAGAAAGGAAGTATATAAAAAAAAAAAAAAAACTACAACTTCAGCGCAGTCACAAAAGCGGTTTGCAGTTGCACTTCAAGCAATCCCACGAATTCCACACATGGCCCCTGGGATTGGGCCCGCCGCCGCTCCTGCGAACAAAACCGAGGGGGATAGCCCTAGCGGCCCTCAACCCCATCGGTTCCTTCCGCGACGCTCTGTTGCAGTTGCTGCGCTGGTACCCGCTGGCCTCGATCCCCTAACCTCCGTCTCCAGAATCCAATGTCCTAACCAATAGGGCTAGTCCCAAGTCTGGAGTTTAGCCTACGCAAAACCCAATATAAGGTGATGCGGCGCAGTGCCTAGGCCCAAAAAACGGCCTGGGCATCGTCTCTGCCTACAACCAAACCCACGGCCGCTAAGTATCCACGCCGCCCTACCCAAACCGTGTCGTAGCCGTCCCCGCACGCCATCCTACGCCACCCCATTTACCGCACAAGGTCCCACCGTCGTTGTCGATGCCGTCGTCCTCGCATGCGCGCTCGCCTCGGTCAAACGTACCAATCAACAGAACATATCCTTTATTCCTGCTTAATCAAAAATAAATAAATAAAAATAAAACAAAGTAAAACCGACCGACGTCCGCGCCGGCTTTATAATCAACGACAGAAACGGAATCACGCGCGCCTCGAACCTGCGCGCCCACACACTCTTTGTTCTAGTCAACCATCCGGCCATCGTAACCATACAAACGCAGCCGCGCCTCGCACGGTATACTTAACTTTAAGCCGAACTCATTTTTCTGTCATTTGCAAAAACCAGTGCGGATACCCTTGTAAGGGTATTCGCGCCGATAGCGCCTGTTGCTGGCGCCAAGGGCTCGAAAAATGACAAAGTTTTAAAGCTAAGGAGGAAAAATGAGGAATTTAGGAGGAAGTTAGAACGGGAGTGCTCGAGCAGTGAGAATTTGGTGGACCGATTGCTGCGGGAGAATGAGGAGCTCAGACGAAAAGCTAGTGTTACAAGGGACCCATTGGAGAACGGGATGAGCATGTTGATGAAGGAGATGCAAGAGCTTCGGGCTGGGAGGGATAAGGACAAAGAGCTTCTGGTGGGATTAAAGACAGAGATTGGATTATTACGAAAGGAGAAGGAACAGTCAGCAGAAGAAACTCATGTGTGGATGAACGAAGCCTTGAGGCCCGGGAACAAGAGGGGCTGCATATCCATGACGCCGCCGGAGGTCGACAATCGCACCCGTTGTAGGGTGCGTATTATGGAGTCGCCGTCTGGTGCGCTACGAGATGAGCTGAAGAAGCTGAAAGACATGGAACATTGCACGCTACGGGAGGTTGAGGTGCTAAAACAAAGGAGGACAGCTGAAGAACGCAGGCGGATGGAGGCGGAGGCGGAGAAGTTGGTTGCGGAGGCGGAGGTGGCGAAACTAAGGGAGCAAATTGAGAAGCTGACAACGGAGGCTGCGGCTGCACCAACAGGAGGTACGAACCTCAAATCGAGGTTGGAAGCGGCAACCGAGGTCGGGGGCAGCGCGCAGAAGACTGTAAGGAGAGGCAAGCCACGGTCAACACTCGGACGTGTGGGTAGTGATGACGGGTCAGCGGTGGATGCCAATGACAAATTCTCATTCCTGCAGATTGAGAGAAAAAGGCTGCGAGCATGGAAAAACTCGGGGCTCGAAGCGTTGTGTAAGCAAAAAGGTATTACTTATAGGACGGTAGAGATGACAGCGGATGAGATTGCCGAAATGAGGGTCGATGCACGCTTCGGCAAGAAGGATAAGGAAACGGCGATGAAGGCTACTCGGCTGGGCGATGAGGGAGGGGGAGGGATACCTTCGTGCTCAGGTGGTACGGAAGCTAGTACAGAGGTGGAGGACATTCCCTCAGACTCGGCCTAACTGTTGTCCCGAATATGACTGAATGTTGGAAGCTTGTTCGAGGAATCAAGGCTTGTTCGAAGACCGTGGTAAGGAATGGAGTGGCCGAAGGATGGTATCGAAGATTTGTATTGTCACTGATTCTGGAAGGAGAAATTCCATGGGCTTTGAAGTTTGTGGACTATCTGACGGAGGTTCGACATTTGAATCTGGTGAGTTGTGAAGGCCCTTTGGTTTACGCTTTGGTTTCTCCGTGGGTTAAGCATGTCTATGTGGGAGCTACGGCTAGGTCGCTTGAGGCTAGATGGAAAGAGCATCTATTTCGGGTCGAGAGTCAGAATGTGGTGATATCAGGGAGAAGGAATGAGCGCTTGTATGGTTGGTTAAGACGGTGTGGGGCGAAAAGTTATGTGGCGCTACCCCTACTCCTCTGTCATAAGGAAGATCTGTTTGATATTGAGAAGTCTGTGATTCGACGTTTTTGTCAGCACCTGAACAGTAGGGATAGAGCTCGACGAGGTCGGAAACGAACGGCTTGGAAAAGGGAGAGAGTTAGGCAGGTCCATCATGGTGAGGTAGGTAGTAGGAAGATTGGCAAAAAAAGTCATCTTATATTCAAGACATCGGAGGGAGTTTCGTCCGCGAGTCTGATTAGGATTTTGAATGACTGCAAGGAGCGTGCTGTAGGTTACGTGAAGGTTGAATGCAAGGGTGGTGATTTATTGATCGACCAATGGAAGTTGATTAAGAGACGCTTCGGGTCATCGGAAGTGGGATGTTATCGTGGGAGATCACAGCTGAGGAGGGCATGAGGATGGCTGACAGACGGCATGACCCTGAATTTTCTTACTATTGTCTCCTTCTGTTCTTCTTTGTGTGCCTTCAAACCTACTCTAGCTAATTTTCCAAGTTTTCCACCCTCTCGGAAGGATCTATCATCATGGGATTTGGAACACATCATTTGGTTATTTGGTGCGGTTGGTTCGTTTTCGGAAAAACGCACGCGCTACACCCTGCGATGTATTTTGTCTGGGGTTATTAGAAGAAGATTTGGTGTTAACGTGCGGGACAGGCTTACTGTAAAGATCACCTTTGATGAAACGCTGTATAAAGTAGAGATCCGAAGGCTGTGTGCTGGGTTGGTTGGAGAGTTGGGGTTGGTGAAGGCTTGGAGACTATTGGTGGTTCGACGCATGCGAGTGGTGTTTGTAAAGAGCCGCAGTGTCGGGGATATCGTTTATAACTTTCGGTCAGTAGCTAGGAAGAAGGACGTGGTTTGTTGCTGTGCCGGGATTGATTCACAATTCACCCGAGTCGACGGGCATGTATGTTTTAGGATGAGTGAAGCGGACTTTGTACCGGAGTGGATGAGGAATGCTCAGAATATTCTGAAACATACGCATGAATGTTCTGCGGGTAATATAAGGAAACAATTGATTAAGGCCTTTGACCCCCTGTTGAGCTCTTGTGGGGTAACACGAAGCAAATTTGAGGGGATGATATCGGACAGGATGGTTGAGGGTTGTTTCAACAGAACTAAGAGGGAACGATACGGGGATTGTGATACTGCGGAAGTGTATGAATGGAAGAATCAGTTTAAGGACCTTGTGTATTGTCCGGTGGACCATAACCCAGATGACTCTTTGGTGTGTTGTCCTTTGATCTACTGTGAAGGGATGAATAAGATGTTCAAGGAGAATTTGGGTTTTGAGAAGTGTATCTCAATGGAAGAAGAATTGAATATTATCAATGACCATAAGTTTGAGGAATTGGGGTTGTCCAGGCTGGGGAAATGGAATTTGCAGGGTAAGTTGGGAAAGTGCTATGTTATCCACAAACACAAGGATGTTAGTTGTCCGACATTTGAGGAAAGTGGGGTGAAGGTTAGCGAAAAGGTAGCCAGAGCCATTAATAGAATGATGTGGGATCTGCCTTCGAGGAGCAATTTTAATATGAGGAGTACAAAAGAACTGATTGGCAGAATCTCGGCGGCTAACAAAGACTTGAAGAAGGGGGAGGGCTTTATATCGGCTGCCTTTGATATCAAAGAACTGTTTTGCAATTTGCCACACGACGCTGTGGTGGATGCGGTTCGATGGGTGGTGGATTTTTGGCGTTTGCATGGGGGACGGGGGGTGCTTGTACAGCAACGTGGGAAGGGTGCAAAGATAAAGATGGGGAAGGGGCAAATTGGTTGATTGTCTATGAACTTTGAGGATAACATTCGGTTTGTGGAATTTGAATTGGGTTGTACATATGTGAACGATTGTGGCATGATTTTGAGGCAGCGTATTGGGATACCGATGGGTAAGGTCTCTAGTCCTGCACTTGCCTACCTTCTGTCGGCCCACTCTGAGTTAAAATTTTTTAATTCTTTGAGGGGTATGAGGGGTCTTACGTACGGGGCACGTATTGTGGATGACGTATCGATTTTTATCCGCTACAAATTGCGGGATGAAAGTTCGAGGAAGCGGGCAGAGGAGGTCGTGCAGATGTTTTCTAATTGTTATCATGGTAACCTGACCCTTAAAAGGACGGACTCGACATCTCATTGGGCCTTCCTTGGATGTGTGGTAATGGTAAGAGAGTGGACGGATGGTATCCTATGTGCAACCACCCATAAAAATCAGGGAGGAGTGAGGAATGGTCGGCTGCTTTTCCAGAACCTGCAGGATTACTGTTCGTATTCAAGCCGACAACAAAAATTCGCTTCCTGCACAGCGCAAGGAAATATACCACGATGAAAGGGGCGGAGGCGGCCTTCCTGCTGATATTGAAGATCGAGTTGAGACTGAGGAACTTTCCTGATAATTATTTTGATACGGCCTTGGTGAACTTCTCTAACAAATATGGTGGGTTCTGGGATGATTGGGTCACTTGTTTCACTTGCTGGGATAGGCGTGATAGAGGTAGGGCTCGAGTATAGGTGATACTGTTGTGGTGCATGAGTACTCTTGGGTGTTGCGTCTGATGAGCATTGCCTGCATATCTCCCCTTATTGTTCCCCTTCTATTCTCTTCTTGTTGCCCTCTGACTAGTTGGGTTGAGACTCTCTCTCTTTGCCAACCTCCGCCTGTGTGTTGTTATACAAGGGTATTCTTGGGTTCTTGCGGGGCATGGGCCGCATGCAATAGGTTCGATCCTCTCCTTCTGAAAAAGTTCTGCTCTGACTAGTTGTGTTGAGACTCTCTCTCTCTGCAAACATCTCCCCTTGCTGTTCCCCTGTTATTCTCTTCTTGTTACCCTCTGACTAGTTGTGCTGAGATTCTCTCTCTTTGCCAACCTCCGCCTGGGTGTTGTTATGCATGGGTACTCCTGCGTACTTGCGGGGCATGGGCCGTGTGGAATGGGTCCAAACGTCTCCTTCTGAAAAATTATGTTGTGGGTTGTTGTCTCCGCTTCAGCTCGAACTTCTCTCCTTAACCTTTCGATTAATTTTTTCTTATTCTCTGACGGTTTGTTGGGGTTTCTGGTCCTCCTGGCTGAGTTGCTGGTCCGCATTATAGGGCACTGTTCGTTTGTTCGGTTACTGCGAATCGGGGCGTTAATAGTGTATAGATTCCGTTTTTTGTTTGAGCTTTTTTTTGGAACCTTCTGGAGTACGGAGTGTGGTGCATGTTTGGAGTTGGTTTGTCTCGTGCACGAGAGGTTTTTGCTGTCTACACGAGTTTAGGAATACTTAAGCTAGTTCTTTGATTGACCAGGTCCTCCAATTCGCGACGATCTTTTGACCCCTGATGATGGCTGGCTGGCGACCAGCCGAAACGCGGCGTAGGGTCGCGCTGGCTGACCGAGCTTACTATGCGGGATATTGACGACGGTCAATTCCCTGCTTTATTGCACGTTGTCAGTCGAGTTGAGTCGTTAATGCAATATTTTATGACGACTCTTCGAGGGTCGCGTTCGAGAGACCTGTGTTTTTAGTTTGTCTTTCTGTTTTCGGTCTGTCTTCCTTCCTTGATGTGATGACTGCTTCTCGTTGTCTCTCCGGTAATGCCTTGTTGCTGTGAATATGACTGTGCTTACCGTATGTTTTGCCCTCATTGAAGTCTTAACCTAACCTTAACCAGGCCCTAAAGTCTCATTTTGCACATTTGGAGAGCAGTGTAGTGAGGCACTTAGATGGTTGTGTACCACTCAGCCACATGGGCTGGGTACATGATACTTCCTTTTTTTTTCTTTTTTGTTTTTTTTTAGGGTAAATGATATTTCACTTGGCCGGCCATAGACACAGTGGTTACTCAATGGGGGGCCGGGAAGCAGATGGACACCCAGCTACTGGCAAAATGCTTGGTCTTTGCATGAAGCGCCCCCCCACCAGCGGTCCCACGCTACTCCTTGACCACGACCGATTATGCCAGGGGGAAACATGCATCCGCCTGATTCTGGGCCCTCTGGTGGCAGCGGTGCCTACTAGCAATGGAAGGGGTCAGGGTAGAAGGGGGGAAAATGGCAGAATGGATCAAAGAGCAGATCCAGTTGGAGCTCATAAGCAGTTAGTTGGCAAGCTCTCAAAACACAGTTGGACATCTTCCGTAGTAGTCAGGACATCAAGCGAGCACTCACAAACTTTGCACAGAGTGGCTGGGAGGGAACCGAGGGGGATGGATTGCTCAGATACAGTGGGGAGGGGACCGGAACAGTGGGACAGAGCAAGAGCAAGAACCCTGCAGAGAATGCAGGCTTCTCTTTAAAGAGTGAACTAATGTCGAACCCTCCTTCCCTATGAGACCACCTTCCGACTTCCCAGACCCTTTCCCGCCCCACCCTCTCTCCTTGGTTGAAAACGATATCTCAGAGGGCAGAATCCGCCCCCGGTGCCCCCTGGGGGTGGACGGTCCCCCGCAGACACGATGCGGAAGACTATGGACACTGGCAGTGGTCGACGAAGCAGTCTGTTTGGGAAAGAGAGTTAAGGATCATTGTTGAAGCGGTTGAGGCGGAAGTACTGATTCTACGATGTTGTATATAGCCATCTTAAAAAGTCTAGTCTCCTCATCTATATTATTGCCTGAGCGGTGGAAGCGGTGTCGGTGCGAATACCCTTACAAAGGTATCCGCCCTGGTTTTTGCAGAAGACATGA